AGATCGCCGACTTTCCGCGGGCGCCACGAGTGGTACAGTCGGGCAATACTAGTAGCGAATGGGACGGATTCTCGGACAATCCCGACGCCGTGGTCATCATTCAAGAGGGTAATTATGAGCAATAGTCTAGTGATTGTTACAATGTTAACCAATTTAATGGTAGGTAAGAGGAGACGCGGATTTTTTTACGCCTTTTTTGGCGGCTATTGGTCGAGTTGGTATCCGAACGCTAAGCCGTGGATCAGCTACAAGGCCTGGTGGGGTCAGCCCACGGGCTCCATGAAGTTTGGCGCCACAATGCGTTAGCTATGCTTTTAATATAACAATTAAATGACTTAACTTTTAGTTTAATAACTAATTTATTTCACATAAAAACTATACTTTTTTTGCTTACTTTTAAAGATAACGGCGATATCAATAATCCACTCGTTCTCGGCTTCGATGGATCGCAAGTAAACACATAAATAAATGCATAATAATAATTATGTGCTATTTTTGTAACACTGGTATTTGTGCGCCGACATACAGGTGCACACATACGCCAGCACTGGTACACTCTTAGAAGTGAGAAACACAACACTCGTGAACGAGACGGAGGAGAAGTGGCCAAAAGACATCACCGCCGCCATGAGAATGGCAGACAATACGGTATATCTATTCCGGGGCGAGAAGTACTGCAAAAGAAGCTGGAGCTGCAAAGATGGTGATTGTGTCCGTATATATTATTTAACTCAATGAGGTGATAGTTTTGCAGCCAATTTAACCATCATTTTGTATGTTTAAAAACAGTGCAAAGAATGGAAAAACGCGATGAATCTGTTCCACTGTCCGGGAACTAAGGAAAGCGAATCCAATTAATGTATAAAAATTATTTTATTTCAAAGTTTATTAAAAACCTCACAATTTTTATCAATAAAATATGTTTATAAATTATTTTAGAACTTTTATTTATAATTCAAAATTTAATTAAAATTATACTGTACTGTATTTATCTTATATTTCTTATAACAAATCACATATGTTTGTAAATATTTGTATCATTTTTTATTTGTAAATCAATTTAAGCGTGAATTTTAATTTTGTATTGAATTAAATGGCTATTCAGAGAATTATAGACATTTTATTGATAAACATTTTGCTAAATGCGAACAATTTTATGTTTTTAAGCGCCGGTGAAGACATTGGGAGTGAACTATTGGAAGCAGTGTTGACTCGACCCGGAAGTGTCCTCATTGTATCTAAAAAGATATTATCAACAAATGGTACCACAAATGGCACTTCTGGTGGCGTCCGGGCCATAAGATTTGATGGAGAACTGGTTTGCGAACAATCATAGATTTTTTATAATTATTTAAAACTTGTTAACAATTATCACTCAAAACAGATCCATCGATACAAAGAAGTGAACAACACATTTGTGAGGGAAAGTAATTCCCCGCAACATTACGCCGACACTCGTGAACACATTCCGGCCAACATTACCGGCGCTTTCATCGGTCCCGACAAAGACATCTACTTCTTCAGAGGTAATCAATTCTGTAAACGATCGCTAATTCTTCGGCAAAATGTCACCAATAATGGGGTAAATCAACACTAAATTTAACCATAATTATAGATCATGTCAGTAATTGCATTAGTGTTATAGTGTAGACAATGGTATGATAATCAGCAACTCTTTGGCTGCAACGCCGGTGTTATCAAGAATAAGGATATCTGTGCGAACTCGACGGTTGAGGGCGTGTTGTCTAATAAGTTGGACCCCTCGGGGAGGGAGAAGTTTATATTCAAAGGCACTTCCCGTTGGCTGTTGACTATCGGCGCCGACTATATAACCGGCAAATTGACGTTGGATGAAGTATTTGGGACTAAAGTCGGTAATAATAAGCCTAACATTCAATCATCGCATTCATCGGATGTAAAGACCAAATCAGATGAAACCGATGATAACGACTAAGTTTTAAATTTTTAATCATCATTAATTGATCGTAATTTAGCGATATTTCTATTAATGTTTTATTTGATTTGCAAAATAATGATTTTAAAAAACAGTATAAGATTAAAAGTTTTAATGTCTTTTAACATTGTTTTTCTATTGTGTTTTAAACTAATTTAATTTATTGCAAAATGTTGAGCAATAATTGTGAAAACTTTGTGTGATTGAAATGTTTAATAAATAAAACTGGTTTCCAATCAATGAGATTGTGTTCATCGGGTGTCGACCTCTTGTCAAAGACTAGTTGACCGCGAGTTAGACTACCATTCAATTCAATGCTTGTCTTATATTCCTGTTTGAACTCAATATAATCGGGATATAAAGCGGCCAAAACTGCCAGAATGTCAAACACTAATATCCCTTTCATTCCCGATTCTATACAAAATTAATTGATTAATAAATACAGGAATATTAACTATTAGTACTTACGAGCCGTCGCTCTCTTATAGTCCATATCTGTTATCTGTTTTAAAAACTTTGCTTTCTTTGAATCCAATTTTACTATTTCTCCGTAAATGTCCTAAATTTTATAATTAAGTATTAAATTCTTGTTTTATTTTAGGTTTGCAAAATTTATCTGACCCAGGTTAAGCGATTGCTATCACAACATTCTACTGGTATACCAATAATGGGACACTTGGCGTTGGACAGCATTATATGACAGGCCTCGGGATCACACAATATATTATACTCTTTTAGAGGACCGATATTACCGCCGAAGTCAAGGGTTCCGCCCATAAACACAATATCCTTCAAATTGTCAAAGAAGTTGTTGTCCAACATATATGCGAGCGCTATATTAGTGAGCGGTCCCAAAGCGATCAAGGTGATTTGCTTCGGGTGCTCTCTGGCCAGTCGTACCAATGCATTGGCCGCGTGTTCACTCTCGGTGTGCACTGAAATGGGAGGCATGTCTTTAGTCGAGTCCCCCAAACCATCGCTTCCATAGTAATCATCGAAAATATGTTTACTAACAATAGGCTTCTCACAGCCCCTGTATATCTTAATTCCCTATTCATTAACATGTGTTAATTATTTTGGATTCAAATAAAAGGTATTAAATATTTCATTTTTATACACATAACTTACCTCTACATCACAGGCCTTAAGAGTATAGAAAACATTTTTGCAGACATTATCAACATATGTACCGCCAAATTGACAAGTGATGGCCACAATATCGATCATATTTTGTTTCTGACAATACGTGGCCAACATTATGGCCACCGCGTCGTCGACACCGCAATCGGTATCAATAATTATCAACTTTTTTGATGCCATTATTTCAATTTGTTTAACTATTACTTTATTTATCAATAAATCAATGTTTTTATATTTTGATGTGATGTCGAAGTGATTGAACACATATTTATACTTCCAATACATTTTAATATTATTCATATCTAATCTATTATTGCAAATCATTCAATATATAAAATTTTAGACATAAACAATTGCACCCATTATTTCATCATCACAATTCTTACTTTGAACAAGGTTAAACTCAATTGATTCTCAGTAATTTAATCCCTAAAATAATTCACACTTTAAATCTAATGACAACTTGACTTTATATACATTTAAGTTCATCACTTTCAGTCCAATATGATATGTTTTAAAAATACATTACTTTGAATTATAGTCAAATCAAATTGATCATAGTGAAAATAATTGTAATAAGTATAAAGTCGAGATAAAAGTGTAAACTTAATTATATTTTATTCTTTCATTCATTTCATTGATTTCATAGCAATAATTATAAAATTTTAAGTTGTAATTATAAACTCAATTATTGTTACAATTACTGCAAAATGTCAAGTAATAGTTGTGAAAACTTTGTGTGATTAAAATGTTTAATAAATAAAACTGGTTTCCAATCAATGAGATTGTGCTCATCGGGTGTCGACCTCTTGTCAAAGACTAGTTGACCGCGAGTTAGACTACCATTCAATTCAATGCTTGTCTTATATTCCTGTTTGAACTCAATATAATCAGGATATAAAGCGGCCAAAACTGCCAGAATGTCAAACACTAATATCCCTTTCATTCCCGATTCTATACAAAACAATTAACAATTAATTGATTAATAAATACAGGAATAATGATAACTATTAGTACTTACGTGTCTTCGCTCTCTTATAGTCCATATCTGTTATCTGTTTTAAAAACTTTGCTTTCTTTGAATCTAATGTTAATATTTTGTCATAAATGTCCTAAAATTTATAATTAATTATTAGATTAAGTGAACATTTTTAACATAAAGTATATCTGACCCAGGTTAAGCGATTGCTATCACAGCATTCCAGTGGTACACCAATGATGGGACACTTGGCGTTGGAAAGCACTATATGACAGGCCTCCACATCACCCGCTATATTAAATTCTCTGAGAGGACCGATATTACCGCCGAAGTCAATGGTTCCGCCCATAAACACAATGTCCTTCAAATTGTCAAAGAAGTTGTTGTCCAACATATATGCGAGCGCTATATTAGTGAGTGGTCCCAAAGCGATCAAGGTGATTTGCTTCGGGTGCTCTCTGGCCAGTCGTACCAATGCATTGACCGCGTGTTCACTCTCTACGTGTACATCAATGGGAGGCATGTCTTTAGTAGAGCCGCCTAAACCATCGCTTCCATAGTAATCATCGAAAAAACATTTGCCAACAATTGGTCCCTCACAACCCCTGTATATCTTAATTTCCTATTTATTTATAAATAAATTTAACTTTAATTATATTTTATATAATTAACGCTTACCTCAGTATTAGTGGCATTGAGAGTATAGCCAACATTTTTGACCACATTATCGACATATGTGTTACCGAATTGACAAGTGATGGCCATTATGTCAATCATATTGTGTTTGTGGCAATACGTGGCCAACATTATGGCCAACGCGTCGTCAACACCGCAGTCGGTGTCTATAATTACCAACTTTTTCGATGCCATCATTCAATTTACAACACTTTATAAAGTATACTATTTGTTATTATTCTTTACAGTATTTTTATACAACTATGAAGTTAACATTTCAATCCAGATTAATCTGTCATAAATCTGTCATATATCAATCGTCTAATATGCTTATATCAATAAATATTAATATAACGATAAGAATTAATTTGTTTTTACTTATAATTCATAGATTCATTTATTTTTGATAAATTATTTTGCATTTAATTTATTTTTATCCTTAAATAGATTAAAAAATCGATTAAATGAAACATTAATAATAAGACATTGGATTTAATTCAAAATTTAAACTTCAATACAAAACATATAAGAAAACAAACATTTATTTTTGATAACATTTTTTGCAAAAATTTAGACAAAAAGCTAATGAAACACAACTAAAAAAGATATCAAAATAAACAATAAACTAATGATGTCTTCATTTGTCTAATCGTTGTTCAATTGAAATCAATCATAACATCACTATTTGCTGCCTTTTTTCTTGTCCCCCTTTTCGCCCCCTTTGTCGCCTCCCTTTCCGGGCGGGTGTTTGTGTTCAGGTTTTTTGGCGCCCCCTTTGTCTCCAGCGGGAGGTTTGTCTGGTTTGGCCGCCGCCGGGGGTTTGTCTTCGTGTGGTTT